TCGCTTTGGCGAACGATCATTTTGCTTTATTTTCCGGCGGCGTGTACGGAAGAAGAAATTGCCGCGATTTGTTATTTATAAAATATTATGGAATTGCTGATCAATTATGTATTTCGAATTTTCTTGCTGACCACGCGCTGGATATTTACTTGCTGATTGATTGCTCGTTTATTAATTATATAGACGTACTTTATGTTTTCTTGGAATTGAAAATCCACGCAAGACTGTTTTCCCTTGGCTAAATTAAATCAGCATCGTCGTTTATCGGCCGGTAATTTGAATTTTCTCCAGTTCGTCCTCCAATTATAATTGGTATTTTTACTTGTTTAAAGCATATTGCACATGTGAGGAATATGCGTTGAATGTATTATGAACAAATTAACAGCGAATTGTTTGCCCATACATTATATGTCAAGAATGATTCATTTCAAACATAAAGATGACACGTAAAGAAAAAGTCGGTTTTTATTTACAATTTTCTTGAAACACAAATATGTACCTACATTACAAAAAGAATTTGTTACGTCCTTAAAAGCCAACATTCGTCATTTAGAAAAATATATGCAGAAATTGCTTATTTTAAAAGTATATGTTACCCTGGATCCAATTTTCCTCAGAATGAGTAACGTCTTTATTAAAATCCAATACATTTTCTTGCTTTCAATTGATAAACGAATCAATGAAATAATAAGAAGTACTAGCAAAAATAGGGCAATGTTATTTTCATTTTGAGATCAGTTTGGAGTTTTTTATTTTTACCGCCAAATTACGCTCTATTTTGAAAATTTTCCTATTTTAAGAACTTTTTTTTATCATGTTACCTTAAAAACTCTCTCTCCTAACGAGAAACCTATTCTATCAACTAGCAATTTATCCCAAGTTTTTCTTTTCGCGCAGTCTCTAATACACTATACATATATTCCCTCTCTCGCCCTCTTCTTCAAGTTCTCCAAAACTATCTAGCGCGTGTAAATCAGTCTTACGTGAGGTGTGCGGAAATGGATCACCGTTTCAGCGGAATAGATCAACGTTAGCTGCTGTACTATACGTACTCGCGTCGAGCGAAATGGCGATAAACAAGAAGCTGTTATTCCTTTCTTGGAGAACTTACATTGTTGCTGCATGTATTCTACGAAGAAGGCACGAGGAGCTACACGATCACTTTGTCGGCCGGCCAGCGCAAAAACACCTTACAGCGCATGAGCGACTATTATTTTTGATGAATTTTCGGTTCAAACGTGAACAAGCGCAGCGTTGCGCACGCGCACTGCCACACGTGCTCACGACGTCGCCAAGATAACGCCCAGTGTGAGAAAGCAACGCTCCCGTCGGCAGAGTATCGTCCAGATAAAGAAAACTACCTGCGCACTGATCGCGACCAACGCTCGTCGGAAAAAAACAATGCGCACTTCGCAAATTACGTCCTTGTTCGAAGCTAAACCACGCCCACTGACGCACATATGTGCACTGCGTGCGCGACCCTATACGAATAAATGCCAGAACAAAGAACTGCCACGAAAGATAAAAAAAGAGCGGTAACGCGGAGAGGAGGTTAGGACTGGAGCGTCGCTTTTGGAGAGATACGATACAAAACTGCAGCGAAGCAGCTGTTGGCGGTATAGCATCAATGTGCGCGACTGGTGGAGAGGGGAGAAGAGTGAAAGGCACGCACGAGATTGTGTTATTTCGGAGTTGGGAGACCTCAAATACCTGTGACGAAGTTATCATGCCTGACTTTTTCTCTCTCCAAAGTTGTCTACCTTTGACGTGGTTTTGTAGCGTATAAACTGTACAGTGGAATTTGCGCGACGTTAATCAATTCGCTTTGTGGGCGTAATAAAGTTCGGGAGCTCGGCTCGCTTTTGCACTGTGATACGACCTCGTGATGTATTGTTTATACGATTCAGATGAATGGCAATGTTCAGCACTGACAAATTTGCCAAACGAATTAACAATGACAACAATATAGTGTGCTACGTTTGAATAACTACCGAACGTTTTCCGATCGAAAACTAAGATATTTATTTACAATTTATTAAAACAAATGTAATGGTAATCAAACGGAATCTCAGATTCTCAGAAAACGGAATCTTAAAAGGAGAAGTAAATGCCAGTAGTACGCGAGTGCGTAGGAAGCCGAATGATATCGACCGCACAAGGAAAGCGTCATCGCAGTTACATCATCGTGCGAAAAATAGAATTACAAAGGCTACGTATATGACAATGGAAGGCTCATACTTGACACATAGTCGCAGACGATGCTTATCTCTTTTCGCGTGAAATTTTCACAAGACATGTTAATACTGCAAGTGAAAACTTTTGGCACGACATGCTAGTGAATATTCTTTTTTTTTGTCGACCACTCTTATCCTACATTTTGCGACGAGACGATGCCAAGTTTCTTATCTCGAGAGAAAAAAGAAAGAGCGAGAGTGTTGTCAAAGTATCAGAAAACAATCGAAGCGTCGGTTTTATTTTATATCTCTTTTTTTTGCGATTCACTCAAAGATTGTTTACTTTTTCATTACAGCGCACTTGAGTATACTTTTTTCCAAGAGTTTGTGTAAATTTTCATTTCGCTATGAACACTCTTCCAACTCTTACTAATAATGGTTTTACGCCTTCAGTATAGGTACACCATGAAATTGAGAAACATCTCATTTATAATGTATACAAAATTGAAAATATCTTGAGCGCCTTTAACGTCAAAATGAGAGGAAAAAAAACGTAGTCATTTTCATTTTTAATATAGACGATTCTGCGGATCTGCCGTAATTCAAATTTTTCCGTCGGAAAAATGTTTCATATATGAAAAATCCGAGCGTAAAAAGTACGATGAAGTTAATTGAGAGCTTGAAAAGCGCTCTTGTATTTCGAGAAAGTGAGTACTTTGTTAAAGTTACGATATTAAAAATACCATGATTCTCAATTAACAGGCAAAATGTAAAAAAATGGAAGGAAAGACACCATTAACCTATCATCACGCAATGTCATAAATTGACTTGAAATTCTCTTTTTTTCTGCTTTTACGTAGGAAAAAAGGCGTCGAGCGGCCCCATCGATGCTTTTCTCGACCCAATGAATTCTGGCGTCTCCCCCTGCATTTTACTGCAGTTTTACGGCGGAGACGTTGCCACGTTCGAGTTTTACGAGCTTTTTCTTCCCTTTGCGCTTTCAGCTTGTGTATGTGCGTGTGTGTTGTTGTTGTTGTTGTTTCCACAATATACAAGCCTTTATCTTCACTCGCGAAGGAGACGAAAGTAAATAGTAAGGATCGACTACACGGCAAAATTAAGTGTGCTTTAATAATGTAGCTTGATGATGAGCAGGAAATGTAGGCTTTTGTTGATTGAAACCCTGAGGTTTCGATTATGGTCTTGAATCGATTGATGCTACCATATAACGTATCAACTATAGTTGGATTAGCCTATTTTAATGAAATCGGACATTAACATAAATTCAGTCTTCCAAAATCACAAATATTTGTTTGTAATGGCTCGAAAAAAAATGCAATGCTTCAAATAACATTTATCAGATACATTGAATATTTAATAAAGATCAACATCTCCAAAGGCTTCATTTTCCGAAAGTCATGAACATCCTTACGTGTTTGAATAGTTGTGATAAAAACATCGTCTGCTTTCATTCTAATCTACTCGAATCGTCAGAAAAACAATCTTGACATCCCTTCGAAACAAAGAAACGTAATTCCCATCATAAAATAAGTCTAAAAACAAATAAACAATTAATCCAACCATCCTTAATCTTCAACGCTTTAACCGTTGTACAGATACGCCAAAGTCATTTCCCAGGGTTTAGCATACCAAGAGCAATAGCAAAGGAAGCAGCGTCTAATTTGAGTGGCGTGCTGGGCGTCATTCGCAGAGAGAGAGAGAGAGAGAGAGAGAGAGAGAGAGAGAGAGAGAGAGAGAGAGAGAGAGAGAGAGACAGACAGACAGACGCGATATCGTGCGCGCGTCCGCCGGAAAGGACTTGCTCCCTCCTCTACATATATATCGTGACGTCTACAGGACATACAGCCATTATACGAAAAGCCGGACAATGAACAGAACGATCCATTCTGTTATAATTACACGCTAAGCAAATTTCGCGCTCGTACAGAGTCAGCGTTCACTTTACAACTTTTTTATGTCTTTTGTTTGTTTTCTAATCTCGACAAAGGTAAAAAGAGATGCACGAAGTTGAATCGACAAAGCTCTCTCTTTCTCTCACGGGAGCGCGTGTTAGTATATAAACAACATTTATCCACTAATTAAGGCCACATACCGCCGCCGACCTCTCTTCCATTCTAATTCGCAAGGCTTTATTACAGGCGAGCACGCGTGCATTACAACGGATAAGCATGACTACCTCTCTCCTAATTTCGTCTGGTTTGCGGGGTTTAAGCGGTCGAGCGTGACTCTCTCTCTCTCTTACTTGACTGCTTTGTGAACTTATCAAGCGCTCCTGCGTTCTTATCCTATATGTATATCAAATTAATTTTCCCTTGACCCGTGCTCGAATGGATTTGAAATTTTTATGTTTTAACTGGTCGCCGTGTGCACGTGTACATTGTCCGCTGACGAGCTCGCGCCGACAGTGAAATTTGTAATAGTTGTTTGTATAAAGAATCTGCTCGAATGGACGCTGATTGAAGGGTATTAAATAGTTGCAAGCTATGCACAAAAGATATTCGGCTCATATAAAGTTACAAGAATTCGTTAAGCTTCCACTTTCACTTGACGCGCTCTATATATACACCTGCAATTTTACCTACGCTTATATATATATACGCGGTGCTCACATTCTAGTTTAATTCGAAATTTTCGTTGCCGTGCAAACGAGGAAGGAAATCCTCTTGCCATGAATATTACAGCACAATAGTTATACATGCTTCGCTGCTGATAGTTATATATCCCTCTCTTCTCGAAATTTTGTTGTGCATAAATCCAGGAAGATTTCGCAAATAGAAAGATATTTTGCAAAGAGCCACAGCTTACCAAGACGTTTGCGCAGCCTGTTGAGGAATAGTGCAAGTCAGTGCACCAGCTGGAATGGATCGTCTGACAGGTTGACAACACGATAACTGAGCTGCCCTTTGAGATGAATTCGCAGCTTCGGAACAGCACGCCGGCTGTTGCTGTTGCTGCTGTTGTTGGGATTGCTGCTGTTGCTGCTGATGGCGCGGTGTACTCGCCGCAGCCGCATTGACGGAAAAGTCACTAGGATTCGCGCACACCTTGGACCTGAACAGTGGCGAGGTCGCAAAACCATCTCTCTGCGCAGAAGTCGAGCTACTCGTACTGCTTGAGCCGGGACTTCCACCGACTCTACCAGGCGAATGGTAAGCCAAGGTACGAAATCTAAAGTGACTTTGGTGACCGGTATACGAATAACCGGTGGCTGCCGTTGGTGGTAGCCGATAGTGATGATGAAAACCCAAGTCACGACGTATATACGAGTCGCCGGGATCCGTGGGCGGAACGTAACGATCGGCTGGCGTGTGTGGACCTGGCGGTACGTAACGCTCCACGTACCTGTCCGGGTAGAGCACTTCCGGCGGCGGCTGTGGCACGTATCTAACGAACAAACCACAATCGCAATGTTGCACTGTCGCAATTAAGGTAGGATGTCTTTGAACATTTTTATTTACCTTTCTACAGGCGTATGTGCCGTTGGTGGTACGTAAGATCCAGCTGAGGACACGTAGCTTCTATCCGAGGCACCGGACGAAATAGAGGCGCACGAGCTACCGATACGTCCAGTAGTATTGTACCTGTCCTTGGGTTTTGGCAGCGATAGATACTTGTCGGCATTGGAGTAACGATCAGTCGTGGTACAATGGTACCTGTCGGAACCCGTAGTCTGAAAGCGCGCGTCACCGCCAAACCTATCGATAGCGTAACGTTCGCTGAAAGCTTGTTCGCTCGACGACAACAGATTGTCGTAGCTACCACGCTCCGGGTAACTCTGCAACGTTTTCGATGACAGCTGATGATGATACTTGTCGGCACCGCTGGGTACTGTTGACGACTGTTTGGAAGACTGCTGCTGCGAATAACAGTTGGCTGAGTGTACAGCCCCGGACGGGTTCGCCGCGATGCTATCGGGCGTGGGCGACAGCGTTGTATAACGCGACGACGACGACGACGACGTCGTCGACGACTGATCGCTGCTCTCCGAGTGCCCGGTGCCATTGTCGATCCCTACGTGATGCTGTCCGCGGACTGTTGTTTCCGTTAACGACGGTGAGGAGCAGGACGACAATAGCCGCTCCGTTGACGAGCTCGACGAGTACCTATAGAAGATGCGCAGGGAACATAGAGAATATTTGAATAACGCGCGGAATATAACGATTGTTGCTTGCGCAACTCACCTGGCTATCTCAGCAGCGTTTTGTCGAGCATCGTGGTGCGAGGCAGAGCTAGCCGACAAGTATCTGTCGTTGGCAGCAACAAATCTGTCGCTTGGTCTACTTTGAGAGTATCTCTGCATGGCCAAGTCATTGAATCTGTCGCTGCTGGTCGCCCCTGTGACGTACCTCTGGGGGTTGGAGTTGGTCGACGTTGCGTCTTGATAGCCCTGGAATCGGCTGGTGAATTCCGCCGGCGAGGTCCTACTGTCCGCGTACTTTTGACATGCCGCTTCGATAGCCCGATCCGTCGAGTACCGCCTACTGATTGCCTCGTTATTAGCCGAAGACGACGCCGACGACGCACCGAGTATTCTTTCGCTGGACGCATACCTCTGATGCGCCCCTTCTGGATTCGCCGAGGCCGACAAATATCTGTCGCTGACGTAGCCGTAACGCGAGTCGTGGTGGTGGCTACTCGTCGGCTGTGACGATGCGTAGCGCTCGTGCAACGGCGAGTCTTTGAGATATCCGCTCGATTTGCCACCGGCAGCTGCTGGATTACTACCGCTGCTGGCGAATCTTTCGGGCACTGGGGCGTGTATCGGCGACGACGAGAGCAAACGCTCGGCCGAGGACAATCCAGCGTAACGTACGGAGCCGAGTACCGGCGAGGAGAGCAGTCGCTCGGCAGCGTAACGCTGCTGTTCTTTGGATTCGCCGCTGGCGTCCAGCAGTCGCTCGGTCGTGGAAGCGTAACGTTGCTGTTGCTCTGCAGCAGCAGCAGCAGCAGTCTTGCTCGTCGCGCTACTGACGTTGGAGTAGAGCTCTCGGGCCGCTGCGTTGTTCGTGGCATTGGCGGACAGAAGGCGATCAGCAGTAACAGCGTAGTCGGTAGCCAGAGATTGCGAGGAGGCATACTTGTCGGCGGCGCTCGGCGACAGCGGTGGCGGTGGTACGAAGCGGTCGTTCGCTGGTGCCGGTGACGGTGGTGACGGGAACGTTTCTGCTGAAAATGATGGCTGACTGGTGTTGCTGCCGCTGTTGTTACTCGCCGATGCGGATGACGACGACGACGCAGCGGCAGCGAGAACGACACTCGTGTTCGCGTATTCACTTTGCTGCTGCTTTTGAGAGCGTTCGTACACCCGGTAATCCGACTGCCGGCTCGACTGTTCGCTCGCGTCGGCGAAACGCGAGAACCGAAGCGTTGCGCTCGAGGCTGCTGGATGCTCGTTACCGCTCGAGATTGACACCGAAGCTCCATGACGCGGTGATGCGCCTGACGATTGCTGCTGCTGCTGTTGGCCATATTGAGCGCTTTGATGCAACAGGAGACGTTCTCTTCGGCCACAGTCATCGTCTGTCGGCATCCTGCTGGCCCGGGGCCCGCTGTCAGGACATCTGAAGCAAGATTAGTTAACCGTTATGCAACTAAATTTTTTCTTTCCACTTTCAATATTACAAGTCGCACAACAGTCTGGCGGACTATGTCGGGGGAGCTTTCGTATTTTGCGAGCAATAGCGGCAGTCCAATAACAAGCGCGAAAATCTAGCATCGAAAAATTAAAAATTACAGACACGTACGAGCGCAGCGATAAAAGCCATTAGCCGCGTCGGTTTCGGCTGGGGCGGCTCGTTTAACCGAAAATTCGAGACGAGGATAAAAAACGGACGAACGAACAAACCGACGGACACACACACACACACACACACACACACACACACACACACACACACACACACACACACACACACACACACACACACACACACACACACACATGAGAGAGAGAGAGAGAATGAGGCAGTTGCTGCTGCTGTACTACGCCAATGAAATGCATTGGCTTGCTTATAATCGAGTGCAAATTAATATCGTTTAAAGCCTCAAAACCGCAACTTATCCGCATAAGGTTTACCAATGCGCGCCTATATTTTTGTTTTTTTAAACGCATCTGTGACGCTTTTTAACTGTTTATTTATTTTTTCTTTCCGTCGGTTAAAATTTCAAATCATCAACGTACAATTTATTCTCAACGCTTGTTTCTCGCTTTTTGGTCGTCCAGCCACGCGCTAAAAAGCGAGGAAATAGACTCGGTTTAATGGCTCTTTTGAAATATGCGATTCGTGCCTACCACGTTCCACCTTTTTTTCTTCCTCTCTCTTTCCTTTACCGCGACAATTTATGTACTCTGTTTGCTTTTAATTACCTGCACGACTGTTCTTTACGTATAAAAGTTGAGAAGGTCGAATACTCGTCGGGGGATTATGTTTGGGAATGGAAAATTGTATCTTTTTCTCTTTCTCTCGTGAGACTATTAATAGATTTTTGCTCCGCAAATGCGCGGCTGTACTTTGCAAAGGCCATTTAGCTTTTTTTGATGTTTGATTCGACTTTTTCCCAGAATGCAGAGGGAAACATAGACATACATACTTTTATGAATAGCTGGCCCCGTTTGACCCAGCTAGCCTTTTTTTAAATTACGACGAATGACTTCGCGATGATTATATGACGACTTGATGACTTGTCATAGAACAAGAAGATTTGTTTCTGAGGAGCCTGGTAAAAATAAGATAAAGGTCGCTCAGCACATTTTCTTTCAAGAAATATGTAGTAAATTTTCTGAAAATTGCCTTTTTATCAATTCAGTGGAATAGCTAATGTTCACTGAAATTCTCTATTTAAATACAAATTATCTCTGAGGACTTAAAATCACTCTTTGTTTTTCAATTTCGCGTATATTCTAAAATCAAGGGACATTACAAAAGCGACTTTTCCTGGTCATTACGTGGAGCACGCATCGAAGATTATCCGCTCAACTGGTACTCAGACGAGAGAGAGAGAGAGAGAGAGAGAAAGAAACAGCAGGGTCGCTGCCTCGCTTTCGCAAACGCAATTACGTGCAGAATTTGAAGGGAGACGATCGCATTAAAGGGGAGCTCGCTTATCGGCACGAGTTTACTCGGAAAATAAGATTTTCCAAAATGTCGCCCACTTAGTCTCTCCTGAAATAAATGTTAACATTTTTTAATTCAAGAGGAAGAGTAAATATTGCAGTAACAATAATTGAAAAATTTTCATTAGTACGCAAACTTAAAAATCTGGAAATAACTTTAAATTTGCAAGTGTCTTTCCGCGAGCTCATTAGATCTATGAAAGCTGCTTTTATCGCAGTCGCAATTGAATGAAAATTGAATGAAAACGACCAATTAATTTCAGAATAGGCTCGCTCGCTTTTACATTGCCGAAACTTGAAAGACATGGGCACAAATGAAAGCGCAGCATTGTCTTTTATCCATGAAAGTCGAACAATAAATTCGCATTATTCATTCATAAGGGTTTTTGAAAAGGAAAGTCAATGACTTCCTAGGTCAAATCCATGGGAACAAAAGCGCCAGAAAAATAAACTTCGAGAAAAGCAAACTCCGCAAGGCGTAATGACGAGGAAATGGATGGAACGATTTATGGAGAGAGTGAACCCTACTATATATTTATCGATCAGTTTTCCAAACAAAGCACACGAAAACGACATCTCGGAATCGTATTATTCTTATCAGAACTTTTATAGTTTTTCACTCGTCCATTGGGCACGTAGTTCCCTTTAAAGTACATTAATTCACCCTTTACACTCGAACAGATTGAGAACACAAAGAAAACAAAAGAAAAAAGCATTGGTCACGGTGTATTCTTCGCAAAAAGCTTCGTCAGTGAAACGAGACGTTTATAACGGCACGCCTCATCGATGCGCGAGATTAGAGCAGTAGCAGTAGCGTGATGAACTCCCTCGAAAAATAAAAAAAACACGATCGTTGACGAAGCATGTCAAAGCAAATCGACCTTGAAATTATATAAAAAAAGGTACATGACGTGCACGATTTGCTTTATTTCAATGCGCAAATTATTATTATTCGGCTCGCATTGATGAAAGTTCTCATCGAAGCTCTGAAAGCAAATGCTTATCCCAAACTATTCATTCGTTGACGTTTCGAAACTTGGATAGCAAATCGTCGGTGAATGCCGAAATACACCAATTCATGAATTCATCCACGAGCCTTTGATCGATTGTAATGCCAAAGAAAAAAAGAATAATAATAAAAATAAAAGAAATTAGGCGAAACTATACAGTCGGTACTGGCGAGGCTAATCGTTAGAATTATTCATGATGAGCCCCAACGGCCTCGTTACCGAGTTCTTGTGCCGCGCAATGGCCCTCAACTACGAGCTCTATACACGCAGTAAAACGCAGCCTCTGTGACTGAGAGAGATGTGGACGAGATTCTTTTACGGCCCGAGCTTTTATCTATGGAAATCGCCAAGGCGAATTTCCACCGGTAATATTTCCAGATTTATAGCGACACTGTGCCGCGGCTCATACGCGCATTTTTCTGAAGATTTCAGTTTCGCGAGAATCTAAGTTGGAATTCCTAGCTTGTTTTCGTTGTCTGCTTAAACAACGAGTGTTACTCTTTCGTGCACAATGTCCTTCTGATACGAAAGACGGAGACTTTTTTTTCACTGAAAACTACCTACTTTCCATCAATGCAGAAAGCTTTAGTTGAAAAAAGGCAAATCCTGCAACTGAACTTTGACGTTATTTACCCCCGTACACCTATTCAATCGATTTTCTAATTAACGAGTTGCAGAAAAAAAGGATAAAAAACAATCCGCTTGAAACTCGTCGGAAAGACGTATTTTGACCGATAACCGGCGAAGTTTCGTTGGGGCGCACGTTTAACGAAGCCAACTCTCCTCTAGCCGTCCACTTAAACAATGACGGTTCGACAAATTACAGGAGCAGCGTGCGATCGTTAAATTTCCAACGTCGAAATTTCGCGCCACGGTTTATCGCTGTCCCCTACTTACTTTTCGGGGTAGACAAAGACTCGCGCGCCGAATGATTATTAGAAAGAGATCCAAACTCCGAGGAGCTTTAATTAATTAACCGCAATTTACTAACCTGCGATTTTGCGCATTCAAATGTCGTAGTTCAAAGAAAAGGAATTACAGTTTGATATGTCGAGAACGAAATGCTGATCGCAATTTTAAGTTGAGTCGTAACAGTATTTAATTCGTTAAAATAACGACAACGCGAACAATTTTTGCTAACTGGGTAGCATCGAAAAGTAGTTTGAGCTTTTGAATCTTCAGTGTTTTGAATACTTTACGAACTCTAACAGTTAGGTTTTTGTTGTATAACAGTGGAGCCCTACGAAACGGCTGACTCGACATAATTAAATAGAAGATCAATGTTGCACGAAATCCATTCGTTTTTCAAATAAATTCCGCAATAACGTGCTTGCATACACAGTCTATTGTAAATAGAATTGCTTTCGAATAACACGCATTGGTCAGCCCTTTATGGTAGTATTTAACAAAATTCACATCGAATATTTACCGTCGACGTAAAATTGAACTACGATATTATCGCTGCGATAACAATGATTAATATCTATACCGAAAACGCATTGTTCCCTTTCGTCACAAATAAAATGAACCCTAACGAAAAGTCAATATGTCCTTCGCGACAATATGCGTTACAAGCTGTGATTTCGTTTCCTCTCAAAGCACACAATGTAAAATTCATGCCTTTGAAATATCACCGAGGTCCTCGACATCACATTCGAAAAATGTAAGTATACTCAGATATCTGCAAAGCCCATAAATTCCCAATAATCCGCGAGAATGAGAATATTATCGGGAAGCTTGATACGAAGAATACGATTAAAAACCAAAATCATTCGCAGCAGCTTGAAATTTGCCGTGAACGATAATATAATATAAATTAAATCCATTTTCGTCGATGGCGGCACGCGGTTGGCGAAAGAGAAAAGCGATCGATATTATACCGTTGGATAGTCGACCTTACTGCCAATAACGCGACCATTTATAAAGCAGATAAAATCGTCGCATTACCGCTAGAGGGAGAGAATTGTGTCGCTTTTACGGGGGTGGGAGAAGAATTATGCGCAGCCCGTTTACGACTCTAAGGAAGCGCCCACGGCGAGCTTCGCGAATTATATTCCGTCTGTTGTGTTTTGTTCTTTTCGTTTGCTCGATAAACATGAAAAAAACAAAAACTCAGAGAAGATTTATCGAGTACGTAACATTTTTATGACTTTTCTTAAACATACAGAATTAATGTTTACAGAAGTCTTTGAACATGCTGGTGTAATATTCATGATTTCTTTTTAAATGCAGAAGCTAAAAGTGGACTTGAAAAAAAGGTTTGGTAAATTTTGTCCGTCAAATCTCTGAACGTGTAAGGATTTTGTTCGATTTTACTATAAATATACAGTTCGTCACACCAAGTGATTTGTTTAATATTCAAAAAGGCGACACTTTGACTCCGCTATTTTGAGTTATGTGATACGTCAGATTAAGATCTGGCAACCTCAATGACGGT